GCAGGAACACTGCCTGGCACATCCTCACACACACACAGGAGCTGCTCAGGTCATGGAGCACAGAGAGAACAGGGCCCAAATCCACATGGGAACGAGGAGAGTCACAGGATTTGCATCCTGAGGTTCAGCTGCAGTGCAAGACACTGGGGAACAAGGAGACTTCCCGGCCTGCACAAAGTCTGGGTGTCTCCCTGTGCTGCAGGAGCCACCCCTGCCCAGCTGCTGGGACACAGCACGGCCTCGGGCAGCACAGGGAGCAGCACCACCCTCCTCCAGGGATGCTGCATCCCGGGAATGGGCTCCTTGGGCAGCAAGGCTGACCCTGCTGCTGCAGTGCTGAGGTCCTTTTAGAAATCAAACTCCTGGAGTGCTTTGGGAAAGGCCAAGAGCTGCTCTCAGAGCTCGTTACGGGGACCAAATCCCAGGAAACCCAGCCTTGGGCTCCTTCAAAAAACTGATTCTCAGGCCATGGCTAAGGGGACTGGAGTTCATTACCATGTGTTTAACAAATGCAGATGAAGAGGAGCTCGAGCAGGACAGAGGCACCTCACACAGGCAGGAGTAGGGCAACCTGTAATTAAAGGGCTCAGCTAATTCTTCCTGGGTTCAGGTCATCACTGCACTGCCCCTCAGAGCACTTTATCCTCGGAAAATGCCAATCCCAGGCACTGCTCTTGAGTGACTGCTGAGTACATGGGTGACACCAGGCCCAGTGAACCACCTGCTGATCAATGCCAGGATGGGACAAGTCACCACAGGGCTGGTGACCTTAAAGGATGGCATTCAGCAGGTTGAATAACCAAAGAGGTCCCTTTTGGCATTAAAAATCTGCATCTCACCATTGGAAAAGCAATCCCAAAAGTCTCCAGTCAGGAAGACACATCTCCAAATGCAGCTGTTCATGGAGCCACGTGGATCTTCAGAGGCCCAGGAGAGGTGGGAGAGGGTCTTCCCAACACACAAACCCATCCCTTGAGAAAGCTCAACGGCACCAAATTGTTTTAAAAGGCCTTAAAAACCAGCAGCTGAAAAATCTAACCAGATCATTTCCTCCTGGACATATTTGGGAATGTATTTATTTTATATCTCGTGAAAAAAAAAAAAAAAAAAAAGAAATTCCAGGATGTAAGCGAGAAGCCAAGAAATAAAAAAAAAAAAAAATAAAATTAAAAAAAAAGGGGGGGGGGGGAAAGAAAGAAAACAAATTTGAACCGGGGCTGTTTTACGTGCAGTATTAAATCTCCAGCACACAATGAATCATGTAGTCCTGGGTCTAACAAGGAGGACTCCAGAAAGTCTGTAGCATGAAGGAGTCACTGGAGACTCTAAGAAATATGACAAGCTCGGTCCAAAGTGCACAAAAGAAGGGTTTTGGGGATTTTTTTTAGTAAAGGGGAAAGAAAAGGAAAAAAAAATATCCAATGGTAAGGGGAAAAAAAAACCCAAACAAAACAAACCCTCTGAAATTACAGTCCTGCAACAGCTTCATTTGTATAATCCCTCTGTTCCAGGTCCCAGGAGGGTGTTTATGGGGGGACAGGGCTCTCACCAGCCAGGATGAGCACCCAGATCCCAGAGAGCCGGGGCTGGAGCCCAGGGAGTCACCAAACCTGTTCCCTTGCCCCAGGCAGGCTGGTGTTTACAGGACAGAGGTGTCTGAGAGCTCTGACACGTCCCTCACCCCCCTGGGGGCAGTTCCCCGGCAGCTGGAGATTTTTCCTGACATCCAGCCTGGATCTGCACCTCTGGTTTTCCCCTCCCTGGACAGCAGTTCCCCTCACAGAGATCCTTGCCTTGTTTCTCCAGATGATGCTCCCTCTCCTGTCCTTTGTCCTGCTCCGGGTTCCCAGTCTCTCCTCTCTCCTAGGAAATTCCAGGAGTAGTCACTCACCTCTGAGGTTTGACCTTGTGGCCTCCAGCCCTGACTGCCCCTCTCAGGGCAGACACACAGGAAAACCCTGGGGGAAACCTCTGCCCTCCTGCAGCTC